CACCATGTCTGGCTAATTTTTTTGTATTTTTAGTAGAGATGGGGTTTCGCCATATTGTCCAGGCTGGTCTCGAACTCCTGACCTCAGATGATCCACTGGCCTCGGCCTCCCAAAGTGCTGGGATTACAGGCATGAGCCACCAGGCCTGGCCTGCACTAGGCCTTTATAAACTAATCATCTGTGATCTGTGAAAGGGAAAAATGCAACAGGGACTTGTCTTCAAGTCGAGCAAAACAAAAGGGGAACTCCACAGGTTTTATTTCAAGACTTGCCTGATTTACTCCTTCTTAGAAACCTCTTTCCTCTTCAGTAGAGAAAGATATGCCATAGGCTTGGTTCTGAGGATAAAGTCAAATTCTAATCCAAGCTAGGAAAGGTTCCAGTGAGAACCCACTCTGTAAGGTGGCAAAGACGGTTCCATCTGGAGAATTTGAACCTGGCTCAACAGGAATGAAGGTGGATATTACACTAGGGGTCCTTATCCTGGCACCTCCCAGAGCAGATGACCCCCAGGTCTAGAGGCTTGGAGGTCAGTTTGTAAGGAAATTCACTCAGTCAGACATCTGAAAATTGACATTCGCTAAGCTCACATGATAAAAACAAATTATAATTTTAATTTAGATGACTTAATTCAATGGATGACACTGAGTGACTAAATTTCCTTTGAGTATTAATTACATTTAGATGCAATGACCTTAATAATTCTGATCAATTGTGATGGTATAACTACTGCTGTCAAAAATGTTTCAACCCATCTGTATTGAGAGTGTGCTATGCACCTGGCATGAAGCCAAAGACTGGATTACAGAGAAATAATGTCTATGTAAAATCAGTAAAAATATGTATGCATTTGCTTTGATGTTTCTAGCAATACCTTCAATTAGGATTACTACTTTATAATCTATAAGACTCCTGCCCCCTAGAATTTAATAAAAATAAGTGAAATAAAATTCAGTGATACATTATCCTTTCTCATACCAACTTTTAACTAGCCTTTTTTTTTCTTTGAGACACAGTTTCACTCTGTCACCCAGGCTGGAGTGCAGTGGTATAATCTCCTCTCACTGCAACCTCTGTCTCCTGGGTTCAAGTGATTCTCGTACCTCAGCCTCCCTAGTAGCTGAGATTAGAGGCGACTCCTACCATGCTCAGCTAATTTTTGTATTATTAGTGGAGACGAGGTTTCACCATGTTGGCCAGGCTGGTCTCGAACTCCTGATCTCAGATGATCTCCCTGCCTCGGGCTCCCAAAGTGCAGGGATTACAGGTGTGAGTCACCGTGCCCGGCCTCAATTGGCGTTTTGCTTCCATGTATTTAATAAAACTCATTACAAAACAGCCACTCTAACAAAAATGGATGAATAAATGGATAAAGTTCCTTAGCAGCTGGGCGCGCTGGCTCACGCCTGTAAATCCACCACTTTGGGAGGCCGAGGCGGGCAGATCATGAGGTCGGGAGATCGAGACCATCCTGGCTAACACGGTGAAACCCCGTCTCTACCAAAAACACAAAAAATTAGCCTGGCGTGGTGGCGGGTGCCTGTAGTCCCAGCTACTCGGGAGGCTGAGGCAGGAGAATGGCGTGAACCCAGGATGAGGAGCTTGCAGTGAACCGAGATAGCGCCACTGCACTCCAGCCTGGGTGACAGAGCGAGACTATGTCTAAAAACAAACAAACAAACAAACAAAAAAGTTCCTTAGCAATAAATTGTAACAAAAACAAATAAATTGTAAAGTGTTCTTTTAAAAAATTTGAAAGTTCAGAATCTTTGTACTACTGTAGCACTGGGGGTGGGGGTGTTAATACAGACTTAGAAAATTTCTATTTAGGTGAGGGAGGAAAGAAAGATATAACCAGATGGAATTGAAAGAATTCAGAAGAAGGTTGTATGCCAGAGAAAACCACAGCAGTTGCTCAGAAAGTATTTCTTGAAATCCCCGGTTTTACTATTTATACATGCCTGGTAACCCAGCTACAACTGCAGCAACGCTGTCACTCAATTCCCACAGAAGACAGCCATTGATTGTTTTGATCTGAAACCTAGCAGATCAGTCTTAGGCCACCAGTCTTTCTCAATTCTCCAACCATAAACACAAATCATTTAGTCTGCCCTTTTTAAGTTGATGCACATGCGTGTAAAACCAGAAGTTTACATGTCTAGGTTGCTTTCTCTTTGCTTCCATAACTAAAAAAAAAAAAAATAGGCTTTTATTTAAAAATAGAATTGGCAAATGAATAGTCCATACATTGGACAAAGTGCCTTTGGAATGCTTTTAAAAAAATAAAAAAATTAAACTGAGACATTTAATTTTGAAAAGAATCAACTGCACAGGCGTGCTATTCATTCTGGCTTTATGTTTTGTCACTTTTGAAAAAAGCATACATTTTCAGAAGACTCACCACACTGGGCAAATTGCATAGTCATTAACCTATGTTTTTACTAGACAATGTTAAATATTTTACAAGAAAAATATTTTTAAATAAAAGATTACTAATTACCAATTACTGTGTCTCATTAAAATTAATGTATTTGTCATTTTTTTGTATTTGCCTATGCACATTTGTACTGTTATAACTGTATTATACTCTTCCCACAATTTTGAATTGTTTTTCAATTAATACTACATTATAAATATTTCTCAGGTATTTTCATAGTATCAGTATTATAAATAAAGATTTTGACTTTTATGGAGTCTTAATCTGGTTTGGAAATAAGATAACATTTACTTTTTTTAAAATTTGATATCTTTATACATTCCAGAAAAATGCATAAAACACAAGTATTAATTCTTCAAAGTTTGAAAAAAAATGGATGAATTAAGTCATGTGTTTTGGGAATTGGATTGACTAAAACTCTTAATTTTTTGTGAGTTATTGGCCATTTAAAACTTTTCATGTTTATGAACTTCTGTGTGGAGAATGCCAATTTATTTAAATATACATTTACATATAGTATATTGCCAAACAATTGTGCATAGTACTTCATCATAATTTTTTAAAACCTTTTTTGTTTAATAACTATTTATTGATTGCTGTTTCCTTCCTTTGTAATTTCCAATTTTAATTTGTGTCGATTTTTGCTTGTTTATTACTGTTTTAAAAGAGTCAACTCTTATTTATTTTTCAGCTTTCTATTTGACCTTTTTTTGTTTTATTTTTATTACTTTTTTTCAATTATCTGTATTTGAACAATGTGATTTCCTTTCTTTAAAAATAAACCTTCATAAAACTCTGAATTACTTTCAAGTTCTCTGGTTACAATAGTTAGATGTTAATATGTAGTGTCTTCATTTTCTTTTTTTTTCTTTTGCAACAGGGGCTCCCTCTGTTGCCCAGGCTGGTGTGCAGTGGCACAATCACGGCTCACTGCAGCCTTGATCTCCTGGGCTCAAGCAGTCCTCCCACCTCAGCCTCCCAAGTAGCTGGGACTGCAGGTATGCACCACCATGCATGGGTAATTAAAAAAAAATTGTAGCAATGAGGGTCTCACCATGTTGCCTAGGCTTGTCTCAAACTCCTAGGTTCAAGGAATCCTCTTGCCTCTGCCTCCCAAAGTGTTGGGATTACAGGCATGAGCCACCATGCCCAGCTTCATTTTCCTTATTGGCTAAATTTCCTTTTATTTTTTCTTCTTCCTAGACCCAATTATTGTTTACAAGACGATTTCTGTATTTCTGAGTGTTTAGAGTTTGTTTTTATTGTTAGAGTTGGTAATGCAGACAGAAAATGAGGTTGATTTAAGTCTTTAGAAATGTATTGCTATTTTCTCTGAATCTTTGTAGATCATTTGTCTCATATATATTTGTAGATGTTTGAAAATCAGATTGCTGGCAAAATGATCTACAGGGTATATTAAGAGAGCAACTTTAGATTTCTTAATAAAGCCCTACTGTTCACAGACCAAGCTTCTTGATATTATGAAGAAAAGATGTAGTAAAATGTGTATAGTTTATATCATAGGGCCTAGCGTACCGTAACTACTGATACATGATTGGTAGTAGTTGGGATAATAATAGTGATTATAGTAGTGATGTTCTTCCTATCTCTCGTGCAGACTCAGAGATCTGGAGGAGAGTACCTACTATGTGTTCTTGGTCTGGGTTTTCTTATCTGTGATGTAAAGTCCCTGTTATAGATGCTTTCTGAGGTTATTTCCAGCTCTAATATTCTAAATCCTATTTGCTGGCATTTTCAGGACCCAGATTGTCTACACCAGATGTAGATGTAGGTCATGCATATTCCTTGTTCGAAAGTCACCTCATACACTTCTTAAGAGCAAATCTCTCTGGGAACTGAAGTCAACATAGAAATTTTTACCAAACCTACTACTCTATCTGAAAGTTTTGGACAGGTTGGAATCAATTCTTTATTTCTGGAAGGAAAGTAAAATTTTAAAAGCTATCTTTCAGCCCTGCTTATGCTTTTCAGGAATGAGAGTAAAATTTCCAGAGCAATGGAAGCCAGACCTATACTTTTCTTTCACAAAAGCTTGGCACCCCTATTAATTTGTTTTCATTTACCATCATTATTTAGCAATCAAAGCATTTAACAGAAAAGACATATTACAAATTATTTGCAGGACTGGCCACAATCTGGCACTATCCTCTATTATGAATTATTCATAAAAGCCAGTATATACCTCCCCTAAACATTGTTATTATGAAGATTAAAATTATCATTAAGAATGAAAATTCTTCCATCTTGAGTTAATTTTTGTATAAAAACAAAACAAAAATATTAAAAAATTAAAATTAAAAAATAGAAAAATAAAACTTCTTATCTTTAATATGAAACCTGAAAATTTCTCAATAAGACCATAATCTACTAACAAATGTATCCATTGGCAATTATAAACAAAACGAAAGCTTTAAAACTGAATTATGGGCCATATGTGAATAATCTGATGCCTTTATACCTGTTAAAATAAACCCCTCTGATGCAGTTTTAATTGTACTTTAAAAAGGTATCACAGGAATTACTACAGAAAACATGGGCTTACCTGTGCGATAGACAAAGTTGCCTTCAGTTTCTGATGACGATGGAGACACTAATTCTTCCTCAAATTCATTGGAGCTAAAAGATCCCGAGTGGTTTCTTTGCCTTGTTTTTCCCATCATGGTAGTGTTCGTGGCCATGACATGTCTCAAAGAGTCATTAAGGTAACGGTTCAACAAGCTGCTCTTGTATTTGGGGGGTGCCACGTAGTCCTCACTGGCCCGTGACTCTGGCCTCACTCCTGCTTTGATGACTGAGCTCTCACTTTTAATCACGGGATGGTGAACTGGGGTATTATAGCCCCCTTCATTCATGTGGTTTCTTGGAGGATTTTCTCCATCTACAGTGGAACGGTATCACTAAGTAGGATAGTAGGCACACTTTCCCCCAGCCACCCAACTCTTATATTTAATCCTTAAAAATATATAAAGGAAATATATTTAAAGTATATAAAATTATCTTTGATATTCAAGATTAATTTTTAGGCAATGAAAGCAAATATTTATATCATCTCTCACTTATGGTATTTTAATTTTAATGAATTTCACTGAATATGTTATTCTGACACATGGTATATCTATAAACAAGAGGAAATGGCCATCATTCCTTTAGTCATTTATAGTATTATAAAAGTGAAGTTACTTCATGCAATAAAAAAGAACCGTTATGGCACCATCATATTTTGTGAGAGCAACCTTAAAAATAGCAATTATGGTAAACTTGTTATAGAGGCAAAACAAAGAAAGCAAAATAAAAATATTAACAAACCTTCAGAACACGAGTCATCACTGCTTACGCTAAGCCGTTCAGCATTGCCTTGAACATACTTGTTGTATAACTTTATTCTCAAAGCCCAGCTTAAATCTGGCTGTCGAACAGTATTCTTAAGCCGACGTCTTGCATTAGCAAACCAATTTGACACCTAAAACGGTATTATTTTTCAATTAACAAAACTTGAAAACATTATCCATGGTGCAATTATTTTCTCATAAAGGAGCTAAGCCTCTCTCAGCACCTCTGATCATTAAATATTCTCAGGACATAAGAATACTGGACATTCATATCCATTCATTCATTCGACAAACATGTTGCTTACTACAGACACTGAGCACTTAGTGTATTTGTGGAATAAGGAAAAATGAAGGGGCCTTGACCTCAAAAAATTCTAGTAAGAGAAAAGTCCAGTCAGAGAAGTAGGAGGGTATACAAATAGCTAATATAAGAAAGAATGTGATGAATGGCATACAAGACATTAAAATGATACAGCAGTCCAAAAGAAAGAGGGGTTACTTTCATATGTGACTCCAGCCTTTTTGAGGAATTTAAGTGAGGCTTTGAAGAAGGTCCAGAATAGGTCAGGTTGAGAGGGAAGGGAAGTGCATTCCCAATAAAGAGGACACAGGAACAAATGGAAGTGAAATTCCAGAGAAATTGTAGAGGCTGAGGAAGAGGGAAGAGTTAAAGATGACCTTGAGTCATCAAACCTGTGTAACCAAGAGAAAGGTAGTGCACGTGGAGAAAGAGATAAAACTTTTTGAGGATAAAATGATGTGTTTGGCTTGGGCAATGTCTAGTTTGAGGTGCTAATATTGGTGACATGTCTGGTAAGAAAATAAAAGTGGTATCGGAGATTGAAGGGAGGGGATGACCAAATTCAAGAGGAAAAGGCACAGAGGTAATTGTCAAAGTTGCAAGAGTAGAAAGAATGAAAGCAGGGTCAAAGACCAAGCTTTGGAAACAATTAGAGATGAAAAAGGTGGGACCTGTTTGCTTCCAAAAGATGAGCTAGCAAAACAAGCAGAGGCAGAGCCATCAGTGAAGAGGAGGAAAATAAACCAAAGAACTCCTCACTGTAAGCCAAAAGTCAAGTGTTGCTTAGACAAATAGTTGAAGGCAAAGAAAGAAACATTTCAAGACAAAGAAAAGATACTTCCATTCTTTTTTTGAAGATGCCACTAGATTTGTACTTGAGGTTTCTTCTAAAATATCAGGCTATCATCAGTGCAGAGATTTTTAGAAACTCAAAAGGGCAATACTTGCCTTTAAAAGAATGAAACATGGGAAGAGAATTAAGTTTTTCTGCCAGTTTGGTCCAGAACATGAGCAAACTGAGGAATTTAAGCTAGGCTTTGAAGAAAGGCCAGATTACTATAATGGTTTGTGTGGCAGTGTTTGTACTGGAAATTTCTCCTTTTTTTTTTTTTTCTAGATTTATACCATAAATACACATTTTTTGTGCATTACTCAAATCCTTATTATTCTACTTTTAAAAAACCATCAAATTATACTTTTTCTCCCTGTCCTCATGGGTAAACACATGCTGGGTTTCCCATATGTATTTAATATTCAATATAGTCAGTACTATCTTCTTTGTACCTGAAGCAATGATAGTTATCCTTTCAAATTTATATGCAATGACATATAATCTCACTATGGCATTTCAGAAGTCAGTCTTCATCAACACTTCTTCCTGCTAAACTATGTTACTATGACTATGATTCGGTCTGGCTTCAAATTCTCAGTCTGAATTCGAATTCTCAGTCCTTCCCATTCTCTACAGACAGACAACAAAATTACTGAGTGACTATTGTACTTTAGCCATGGTGTTAAGTTCTAGGAATGAATAAGCTTTGTCTTCTGCACTCCCAGAAGGACTAGCAGAAAAGAACTACACATAATTAACTGGGATACACCGGTGAACATTAGCTGTGGAAGCACATGGAGCCTGATCCCTTTCTTCATGAAATTTCTCAATCTTTCCTTGGATTCTTCAACTCACTGTCAAAATCTTTATCCAACTACTTTATCCAACTATACTACTAACTGGGAATTTGGAAACATTTCTCTTTCTAACTTCCCTCTCTTCCATTCTGTTCTCTTAAATCGATCTTAGCAACTATCATCAAATTCAAGAATTGATGCACCATTTTGATTTAATCACTTCACTCCTTCAAATCCTCATAAATGTCCTGTTATCCCATAATCACCATACAATGGAAAAGGACCTGGCTTCCTGTTCTGAATTTGCCAAAACCATGCGGTATGAATTTGGATAAGTTATTCAACTTTACTGAACTTTGAATCCTTCATCTCTAAAATGGATTTGATGGTTCCTAATATCCTTGTTAGCTCTAAAAATTAAGATGGGTGAATACAGCCCAAGTTTCCCTACAGCAATGTTAATTTCCTTTACACTAGGTACTAACCTCCCTCTGTTGACCAGTACTGTCTCCAGCAAGAGTGTTTTTGTCCTTCTTTGCTCCTTTCACACAGAGTACAGCCTGCACCTTCCCCTAGATCATTCATATTTACTAGAATTCAACTCCAAAACATTTTTGTAACTTTCTTTACTAAACAGGATATAATTCAGACTAACCTTAAATCTTCACACAGCAACCACACATAGTACAGTGTAAAATCCAATTCTTATGAAACTCTTCTTATAATGAAAATGCAATGGCCTTCTAATTTAAAAAAAAGTAATACACTATCCTTCTAACAGACAAAAATGGGGGAACATTTAAATGATTTAAATGTCATAGGGGATTAACTAACTTTTCATACATAGGAGTCATATCTCTTTTATGTTTTATATACTCATAGTCTTTTATTTTTTACCATATTATAATAGTTACACATTAGGTGATTTTCCAGAAAGATTTGCTGATGTCTAATATAGACTGTTTCAAAACTGATTTCATAAATTGACCACCACCCAATCTGGTAATATATGTATTCTGCTGGGGTTTTTTGTTTTGTTTTGTTTTTTTCAGTACAACCTAACAGATAGATACACTCCAAGGTCTTTAATGTGTATTTGCAGTAGGTCCTGCAAACAGCAAATAGCTGGTTAACAAATTTGCATATACTTGTTTTGCATTTCTTTCTTGATGAATTAATGCAAATTCCATCTGTTTCACTGAAGGTAAAAATATCGGTTCAAATTTTCTACTTTTAATCTACTATGGATTCCTTCGGGCTGTCATTCATATTCTCTTCAAATTGTATTTTACATGAAACAGGTCTTCTTACCAAGGATAGGTTCTGGAACAGAATTTTAATGTCAAACTGAATGCTATGTGTGTATATATGTATAGATGTTTGGGCCTCTAAGTTTTCACTATAAAATATGGGAGATAGTTAGATATGACTAATTTATATAATTATATTTTATATTGGTATCTATCTGTCTATCTATCTCCCATATTTTATAGTGAAAGATTAGAGGGTCAACTGTCTAGAAGCTGGGAGGGAAAACTAAATAATATTCATCCTACTTTAACAAAGGTGTTTACATTCATCATGTTGACAGAGCAATTGTTATAGTACACCCAAAGGGATAAACTGGCATCTGTCCATCTTTGAACACACTGAATTAACAAACTTCTGAGCTATTCAACTGAAATATTGAGCATTTCATTCCCACACCATGTAATATAACACTTGGAATAATGAATAAACCGATCTGAGATTTTGTTGAATATTTAACAGTTGTTATACGCCTTATAGCTGATAATAGCATGTATATCTCAGCAGGCACACTCAGTACCAACGAAAAACAGAGTTATGTCAACAGTGGAGACAGGATCTTGGAACATAGTAGTTTTAACAAATCGTATGTGGACAGATCACAGGAATATGAGACTTCCATTATTAGAGGAGGAAGCATTAACATCTACTCATTGTTCCTTGGTAAGTTCCATATCCTGCAATAATACAAACCCCAATCACATACCATTTTATACTATTCCACAACAAAGCTGTTTATATTTTGAGAGTACAGAGTGTATTTCTATAGCATTTGAACAATGATCAGCCATAGGATCAGCCATAAGATCCATTGGTAATTCTATACATTTTAATTTTTTCCATTTATCACTTTAAAGCTTCAGAAACCAGCTTCATTAATAATAAAATTTGAAATCATTATACAGTTGTCATTTATTATTATAAAAGTTATTTTACCCCACTTAAAATTACATATGTTTGTGCATTTTTATTTTCTGAGGACTAGTGTAAGAGAAAAAAGGTGTTTTGAATGAAAATTTCATGTAAAGCATATTTTAAAAATGTAATAGCGTCACCAAGATCTGAATGTAAAAAGCATTTTTATTTGTATTTGAACTATCATTACAGGTGGCAAATAATTTAAAATTACAACTACTTGTATTGCAACTCAACAAAAGTACTACATAAGAAAGTTTAAATGGCTCTCCTAATGACAAATGCTACTTCATAATTTAAAAACGTCCTAACACATGTCATAAATGTTCTTTTGCTTTCTGTATGAAAGAATAGCCACTATTAAATATAAAGCTCTATATCAACCAGAATAACCTAGTGTTTCATTGCTGACATCATGTGAAATATTCAAATAACTCTATAAATTAGTGTATTTTAAAAATAAATAGCATACTTATTTAAACGAAATTTTAACATAGGTTATTTATTTTCATAAGTCAGGTTTTTCTGACTGGAATAATTTATTTAGAAACTACTTTGGTAAATCGCTAAAAGACTCATAGTTCTATGTTAATCAGTTATTAAGCCAAGAACACTAAATTAATTTTCCCCTCCACTGCTGTAGCAAATCACTATTAATACCATTGCCTGAAAATATAAAAGAAACAGATGTTTTTGTATATAATTATATTCTGAAAATAAGCAGAAATTACATATTCTAGTATTGATAGCCTGACTATAAGTCAAGTTTCACACCTTGTCAAACTTTCCAGTAATTCCTAAAGGGAAATTTTAAATACTCCGGAAAGCAATTTTTATTTTATCCACTAGTTCCTTTTTTTCTTTTTGGAGCTCCTGCTTACTGTAAATTTAGTGGAATGGCCAAATTTTCACAATCAGGTAATGCTATTGTAATGTGCAAAACTTTTCACCTGATGTAGCTCCTCCTCCTCTTCTTTCTGAATAAATTTGCCTGTTTGCATGTAGAAAGTTCAAGCCACCATATTTATTTTTTAAAAAAAAATTATGACATGATGGGAAAAGCATTTGATCTGGAATTATTTATTTCCAGGCCTATCTCTGTCTTTTACTGACACAACTGCCCCAAGTCTTGGTTATGTCAAGTGTAAAATTCTGATAATAACTGCCTACAACATCGTAGTTTTGTGAACAGTAAGATTCAGTTTTGAAAAGCTAGTCAAATGTAAAGTAACGCTGTTCACCAGAGAACACAAACTTTGCACCATTTCTCCACACATGGCAAAGTAACCCAACCATCTGAAATCTCCCTCCTTTCCTTAAGCCCAGCAGAAAAGGATCAGGAGCAAAATGCTGTGGATTGCAGCTAATGCTTAGGATGCTTCCTATTAAAAAAAAAAAAAAAAAAAAGTTTTTCGGGGTGGGGGAGTGGGGGGGGGGTGTTGATCCAAACATCATTTCTTATCTTTCTATCCCCTACTCCTAGCTGTCAGTAATGGTAATTTTGAAAGTTACTCTGTACCTGAGCTTTAATACTGGGCCTTAATATGGAGTGTCACACTGCACGGTTCTCAAAGTGGGGTTCCTTCCTAGCCTCAGCTGCAGCAACACCTGGGGCCTTGTAAGAGATGCAAATGATGGTCTCACCCCAGACCTGCTGAATCCGAAACTGGGAGGTGGAGTCTAGCGATTTGTGTTTTAAGCCCTCCAGGCGATTCTGATGCTCACTAATGTTGAAAATCACCGCAGATGGCATCATCTGGATTCATCTATATGTGGCTCTTGAATCCAGATTCCCAGTTACCTTCTCATAAGTCTGCAGTTGACTTTTCACTTCCCTCCCTGACAGCGCTTCCTGCATTCCTTCCTGCACCGAGCATCTGCACTGAACTGAGGGATGAGGGGGAGAAGTAATTCAGAAACTCCCACAGCTCGGCTCCATCTCTCTCCAGGTAGAAGCGTCACGTGGAGAGCCTCACGAACCCTACGCGTGCCCGCTCTTCAGCCCCTCGCCGGGAAACGGATCAGGGGGTTAATTAGTCCTGATTACCTGCACTAGCGTCATCTGCGAGCCGAGGGCCAAGAGTATCTTCTCGGTCTTGGTGGGGTACGGGTTGTCACGGTGCTTGTAAAGCCACTGCTTGAGGGGCCGCGCCATGTCTTGCAGGGCCTGCCGCTTGTGCCTCACCTTACCGCCATTCTGCCGGGCGCTGGGACATGGGGAGAGGAGGAGGCCCTGGTGAGCGACACGATTGCCCGCCCGGCCCCTCCACGTACCGGCCGAGTCCGAACCCCACATCCAAGCTGCGCAGTCCTGCCTTGCGCCCCTGCTCCGCGCGCGCCCAGAGTTTGGGAGAGGCAGGAAGTGGGAGCCACAAAGTTTCTGGATGGGGAGGTCATTTCGCTAGGTTTATCTTGAGTAGGGGGATATTTTGAACTCAATACCCCAAGGTTAGAGGTTTAGGAGACGAAGGTCAAGTGATTTGAAGAAAACGGCTATTTCAGTCGCGGCTCTGGGCAGCGGGGCTAACTGCTACCCTTCCCTCGCCCGCTGGCGCCGCGCCCTCGAGTGACCATGGCCTGGCAGGCCTGGCAGGGTATGTGGCTGGCTCTCGAAACTTTCCTCGGGGATCTCTTGTCTGCTCCCAGAGGCTTTCCGTCGCCTGTGGTCAGGGGAAAGGTCGCCTACTGGACAGAGGGAATAAAGCAAAGGAGCACTGCTTCCCCCGCTCTCTTTAAGCTTTCTATTTCCTTTAATCTTTTAGGAAAAGGGGGAAACTTTCCAAAGGAGGTGGTGGTTTGTGGAGGAAGGCTGCAGAACCCAAAAACACTGTCGGGCCGTTTCCCGACTAAGGGAGGGTTAAAAGTACGGCAAGCTCTGTCACATCAGGTAAAGTAAAAAGACCTCAGGAAAAGCATATTCAAAGGAGGAGGAGGCAGAGGCAGCCACGAGCCTGGAGCCGGGAGCCTGGAGCCCAGAGCTTGGAGCGTGGCCTGGGGCGATGCGCTCCCGCACCGGTCCGGGAGGTGTCGCGCGCGGCCGCCGGCGCGCCCTGCCGCTCCCCGAGGCTTGCGCGCCTGCGCCGGAGCGTCCTGGGTTTCTGCCTCTTTAAACACTTTGAAATGCAATTCCACCCGAAGCGACTGGTAGTAACATTTTGACGAAACCGAATCTCTATTTTACTAAGCAGCGACGCCGCAGAACAAGCAGCTGATGCAATCGTTCAGGTGGAGGCGGCCAGGACTGCCACCCCTCCCCAGCTGGGCGTCCGGGAAGCCGCCGGGATCCGGCCGGGCATAGCCTGCCCTCCACTCACCGGCAGTCTGAGCAGCTGGCCCACCCGCAAGCTGCCGCCCCCCAGCATCCCCCTCACCCCGCTAAACCCAAAGCCTGCCCCGCAGGCCCAGAGCCTCCCCCTCCGGGTTCGCTGCGGGCCCCGCCGAGCCGCGCGCGCGCCCGGGACTCCCTGCGGGGAGGCGACCTTCCCGACTCCTTGGGCCAGGCGAGCCGCGGGGCCCTGGCGAGGGGCTGGGGTGACCGAAGAGAAGTCCGCGGAGTCTGAGCCGGGACTCCCCGACTACTTGGCTTCGCCTGTTTCTCTGCGCCCAGCTCAGTCCTTTTTCCTGGCCCTCAGCCGCGCACCGGCACCCGCAGTCCGGAGAGGGGCAAATAACCCCCAAATCCGAGGTCCAGGCAGCGAGGACCGAGGGGCAGCTCCTGGCGCCCTCAGTCTCCACCAAGCTCTTTGGAGCTGCCCCGACGAATTGATCCCTCATGTTGTGAGATAGGAGCCCGTTAACATGAGAACGCGCCAGCCCTGGAGAGGCAGACCTGCACATCCAGGGAACTCCGGGCCCTTTGCCCCCAACCCGCCCGCGTTGCCGCGGGACCTCAGGACAGCTCACCGCCCCCTCCCCCCGGGAGTGCGCATACCCTGTCCTCCGGTGTCTCAGGCCGAGGTTGTCCTTGAGGGGCGGGCCGTCGGGAATGCCCACCTCGGGGCGGGCGTGAGGACTGTCCAGAACACTGCTGTAGGGCCGGCCACCCCGCTCCCGCTCCGGGGCGCCTCCGTCCTCAAACAGCACCGCACCGCTGAGCTTGTTGAAGACGATGGTGTTCATGGTGCCGGGTGGCAGGGACGCGCTGCGCGGCCGCAGAGCCTCGGGGCTTGGCCGCCGGGAGCTCCGCAGCAGGGCTCGGCTTCTAGGAGAGGAAGGTGCATCTCGTTACTTACTGGCTGAGAGTGCTTAGACCCCTGCAGGTCCTGGGCCTTGAACTTGGCCGGGTCGCCGGGCTGCAGAGCCGAGGGGAGGAGCGGCGCCGCTGCAAATGGCAGGGACCCTGCGGCTCTTCCCAGTTGGCTACACGCCCCCGCCCCTGCAGGCTCCCTGGACAGGTACTTGCCCTCTTCCTTGCCTGGGCGATCGATCCCCCCTTCCCCTCACTCCCCAGAACTACAACCGGGAATCATTCACCCGCAGAGGCAAAGGAACGAATTCCCAAACGAGCCTCTGGGTTTCAGTTTGTGTCTGGAAGAGGCATACTCCGGACTGCGGAGCCGGGACCGGCGTGAGGCCGCGCGTGGTTCTTCAATCACAGCAGAAGACTAAAGCCTCTGGGACCCCCATCTCGGGGCGTCAGGAGGGACTGGATGGAAGGGAAGAGTTGGGATAATGTGCCAACCGCATCCGCAAGGCCCAGTTCATGAGTCCCAGGCCATACCGGAATTTGGAGGATTTTCGTGTTTTCTAGATAGTGGATGGTTTGGTTGAAACCCCCTCATCTTCTGCCCGATAAGGTCCCCCGGGGTGAGGTTGGGTTCAAGGACAGGGAAAAGTTAAGTGGCGTCAGGACGAAAGCACCACTTCTCCCCCTTCTCTCCCCGAATCTTCCTATCATCCCCCAACGCGCCCCGGGACGTGCATGGTCCTAAGGTCCAAGGCGCCAGGACCCAGGTCCCGAGAGCCCTCAATCAGTGCCATTCTCTTCCGCAGCACGGGTGTCAGTCGCGGGCTCGGAGCCCCTTGACACTCGCTCCTCTCTGGGGTCTCCGGGGACCCTTTCAGAGGCCGTAAAGGTGTCAGAAGCCCAGGTCAGGAGGCAGCTTGGTCGGCGCACCTCCCGGGCTGCGGCTGCCACTGTCGGGGAGAGCCAGCAGCTCACCTCTGGGGTCGCGGAGACCCTGAGCCTTTGCCTGCAGCGCACGGGCGTCAGGGGCAAGTCCGCGCGGCCGCGGAGCCGCAGAGTTACAGCCCCAGGGCGCGCGGCCGCCCTCGCCCGCCCCATCTCCCCGCCTCGCGCCTCGGGACAGCTCCCGTTTCCTCCGAGCGGCCTCCGCTTCGCTGCCAGCGCCCCCTTTGCCCGTCCAGTCGCGGCATGGGCTGCTACTCCACTAACACACGCGCGCGCGCATACACACACACACACACACACACACACACCCCCTCTGCCTCGCCGAGTGCCCACACTTGCCAACGCCCCCGCCCCGCCCTCCGGCCACCGCAGCAGAGCCCACGCGTGACATTTAGGACTGTGGCCACCGCGATCAAACTACGGCTACGGTCTGTGTTCGTAGGGAAGTGAAGTCAGACCTTTGCTGGATGCCGCGTGTCCCTTAGGACTGCGTCCTCCCGCGCAGACAGGTACGTGCCTGGGGTGTGCACACAGCCTCGGCAATAAGTGTCAAAGAGAATTTCCGCGCTCGCAGCCCCTGTTCTACAGTCAAGACTAGCGTTGCTGTTTTCTTTTTAACGTCAGTGCCCTTGGGGATGTGCGTTCATGCTGCTTTATTTGTACAAGACACCTTTCCCTGGCCCGGCCTTCTCCGCGCCACCCCAGTGCGTCCTCCTAGATGCGACGACGTGTTTTTCCTAGCGAAGTCACCACGAGGTTAGCCACCTCGGACCCTTCTCTGGTAGCCCCAAGCCCACGCAGAGATCGCAGACACAGACAACCGGCGCGCTCTAGGTCTGCAGGCAGCAGGCTCAGAGACAAGCGATGGCAAAGGTCCGAGCGCCGTCCTGTCGCAAGGGGTCCGGGGGCGTGTGAACCACACTTCCTGACCCTCCCAGGACTCCGGCGCGCGGCCACCCGCGCCTCTTCTCAAATCACTTACCCGGATTCACTCCAGACTGTGGCCGGGGAGGTCACTCCCTGCAGAAGTGTCCCCCTCCCCCGAACGCCGGCGAATAATTTTAAAGCAAAGGAGGCGCGGCCAGGTGGGCTCCCAGGCTCCGCGCAGGCCCTTGGGTCAGGCTTGGCCGCCACCCGAGCGCGTCTCCACCAGACCTTGGAGGGAAGTTGGGGGAAGGGCGGGGAGAGCACCAGCGCCCGGGGCACAGGGAAGGTGGGGCGCAGGGGCCAGAGCGAGTCTGGCGTTCCCCGGCAGCCGGCTGGGACTCGGCGACGCGGGGGCTGTACCTGTGGCTGCGGGGCCGGCGGCCGGCTGCAGGGCGGCTGGCTCTCCCGCCTCGAGACTAGGCGCACTCCCATCCCCGCCGCATGTTCTCCACGCGGGCTCCGGCGCGCTCACCACCGCCACCGCTCTGGTCTCGGCTTTATTTACCCAGCCTGGCGCGCGCGGCCCGGGAACAGGAATAGCGAGGCCTTCTCATGTTTCCTGACTGCGCGGCCCAGCCGGCGAACATCCTGCGGGCGCAGTATCCACGTTCCCGGGCGGGTGGAAAGGAAGCGTCCGCGCCCGCCCGGCCGCGGGGGCTGCTGTTAACCCCTAGCAGAGGAGCCGCTGCCAGGGAGCCCCGCGCCCGCCGAGTCCTGCGGAGCCGGGCGCGGCTCCCAGATCCGCCGGCCTCGCAGGCGTGGAGCAGACGGGGCTTATCCCTTCGCACTTTAGGAGAGAAATTGGAGAAGCTGCCGGGAGCTCTCGGCTCCGGCTCCAGAAGCTGGGAGACTGCGGTGCAAATCCCGTGTCTTAGCTGGCCGGATTGCCGGAAATTTCACCGCGCCTGGCTAGGCGGGAGAGGCCACTGTGACGCGCCCTGTATTTCCCTCTCGGAGGGAAGTTAGAGCTTGGTTTTGCACCTACAGCCCTGGAGCGTATTGCGGAAAGTGCTAGCGCCCAGGAGCCTCTTTTCTGATGTCACTGGGCTTCTGGGGTCCTGGTTGTCTCAATCAAAGCCAGGCACACGTTCACCTCCGGGGCAAGAGTAGTGAGGCTGCCCTCGCCGCTGGGTATAGTGATGGGGGAAAGCAAGGATGGGGTGAGTTGAGCCCAGGTGGCCAACCCGCGGTGACCCGAGTGTAGAAGAGGAGGCGCGCCAGAGTCAGGAATCTGCACTCGGCAAAGGAGATGGAACTTAGAAGAATCACAAGCTGGGACACAGGGCAAAGAGAGAATGGCTTCCAGATTCTCTAATTGGTGATACTTTGCTTCCTAGCATTACTGCAAATATAAGTAGCAAAATCGGCGGTTTAGGTGTAACTGCAAGCTCAGAGCTACTGGCAGCCCAGAAGATCCCCAAGGTGCCAACAACAAAGCTGCCTGCGCTCTCGCCGCCGGCCCTGTGGTCCCAGGGAACTTTCGCCCTTTTTAAAGAACAAACTTAGATTTCCCCTCACCAAGCTTAAAGAAATAACACCATTTGTCCTTTTCCCCTCTAAATGTGGCTGGCCAGAGCCGGGGCAGTGGCCCACCTTAGCATCTTCTTTTCGTGTGTGTTTAGGGGGCGGGGATGCCTAGAAGTGGTTAAAATATTTACTAAAGCTATTATTTTAAAGACTAATCACACCCTCAAATTTCATATGTATCATCTACCAAATTACGCGATAGCAAACCGTTGTGCAGTGGTAAAATGTAAACCATAAAGGAAGGCCGGTTTACATTTTTGCGCACCAGGAAGATACAAAGTATCATTGGAGCACGTTCTGATGTCCTCGGTTCTCTTTTGTTATATAACTTGCTGTTGCAGCGCTTGCATCTTGTCTTTGGCGCTGCCCTTGTGGTGTGAGTTCAGTACAGGCTTCTTCTGGTCTACAGACCTCGCTGTAGGAACTTAAAGACAGGGGTAAATCCTAAGGTTTCAGCCATCAATTTTCAGCGAACAAATTTCACCACAGAAGCAGATCTAATTGATTTCATAAGACGAAAGAGCCATCTTCTCTTTTATGGTCTCTATCAGTGGTGCTGTCACCAGGAATTGTAATGAAATCAGCTCTAACACACCCCTGAAACATTTTTTTGGTCAGCTGTCCCAGGTAAAGCAATAGGCATGATACAGTTACTTGCAGTTTCTCAGTATTCTACTAACTTTTTGAGCTATATGCTATAGTACATGTTAGTATAGGACAAATGAATTTTGTTGTTTTAGTACTTAACTATATTTACTCAATTTAAAAATGCATTTAGAGCGCTTTTATTTAAGATATTCTTACAGGTAATATTTGTTTTCTTAAATTCTGAAATGAAATATACAGCAAAAGTCTTAATGCAAAAATAATTTTCATTTGATATAGGAATAAAATACGTTTGAGGAAGCCTCAATTCACTAAAAAATTAACATATGGTAATTCCCTTAGACTATGATTTAATAATTAAAATCCATTTAAAAATGAAAGAAGAGTGAAGGATCCATTCTAGAAGTGAAATGGTGTGAAATATCCCTCTGTAATATACAAATGAGCATTTATTTTATTTTTACAAGTTTTATCCTCTATGCAAAAGGGAAGTGTTGTCTTCATTTTAACCCACAGTTCAAATACATTCATAAATAAATTACACCTATTTCTAAATTAAATGTTACTCAGCTTCTTGTGCTATATCCAATGTCAGTATATGAAATGCTATATATAATCCTCAGAAGTAAAACCTCCAGTTTTAGAAAGTTTTAGAAGATTTAAGAAAGTATATGTAGTTTGTGGAAGATGGCCTTATGCAGGGGGGAAAAAAACCCAAAACACCTAAAAACTTAGACCAGAAATCAGAAGACTTGAGCCCTGATTAACTAGAACCAACTATCTTAATTCTAGTTAATTTGATGTTGGTTTAGCCTGAATTTACTAAAGTATAAAATGACAATAATAAGTTTTCCACAAACTGCCTTACACTATTATGAAGGTTTTTTGTGTTTTTTTTTAATGTGAAAGTAAGATATTGCTTTGCTAAAGCTAGAAAGACGTTAAGTAAGAACATTTGGAAGAAATATTAATTCATTGTATTGGACTCTGCAGTTATAAATATATGTAATTATTACTTTCTGGTAAAGAAAAAGAACAAGTCTTCAGTTTTAGCATTTTGATATTTTACCAAGGTACCCTGACATTTCAGAATAAATATTGGTCAAAGTGTTTGAAAATAATGAGTGTTTTAAAACTCCTTTTTCCAGTTATTACTTATAAGCAATAAAGCAAACTACAAAACCAGAGAATGACTACAACTTCCTGCTCAAATGGTATAAAACAGTAAGTTAATGAACAAATAGCAGGTTCAGCTCACACGTGGCCAGTTTGATGGCAGAGATACATACTGGAGTGTGTAAGGGGAACAACAGAACAAGTGGTGACACATACGGCTGCAGAAACACTGAGCTAAGTAGTAGAATGGGTGGCCACGAAGTATCTCACAAGATGTTTCTGCTTTGTTTATAAGTTAATTTTAGTTCCATAAATAATGCAGAATGAATAACACCTTACAGGGAGGGTCTTTTGCATAAATCCACTCTCAAACGAAGAGGAATACAAGTGAAAATGCCTCTCAGCCACTTCCACCCAATTACATTCTGCAGAGGAATCACCCAAAGCTGGCAGTTGCAGGTTGGATATGCATCTGTTTAAGTTTTTTCTATGCACTTACATACATGAATAAAACAAATAAATTATAGCTTTGCTAAATGAGACTGTATATAAGTGTACATATACATACCGAGTATTAAACTAATTCTTGCTTTTTCATTCTGTGATGTCCTAAAGAACTTGTGTATTAGTAGGCATACATGTAACTCCTTCTTTTAAACTGTTACATGAGACTCCACAATCTACTTAATGATTCTCCTATGAACATGTCTGTCTTTCCAATTTTCACTATTGTAAACATCAAACATCCTTGCATATGATTATTTCCATATATGTATATGTGTTTCTCTAGAAAACAGTTTCCCAGATATAGAATTTCTGGGTTGAAGGAAACATGGTTTTTAAATGTTGATAGATACTTGCAAATTTTTCTCCAACCTATACCACGGCTGATATATGTATGCTCCAATTTCCTCACATGCCACACAGCATTGCATATGTTCAATCTTCATGTTTGCCTAAATGATGAGTAAAATAATGCCACACTGTTTGAAAACCTATTCCTTTATAAGCCATTTGCATTTCTCAATTGAATTTCCTTTGCTTATATCCTTATGAGATGCCTTATTGATTTACAATGCTTATTTATAAATCATTTTTTCAGGATATATATTTTTACATGTTGCAAATATGTTACCTGGTCTGTGGCTTGCCTTTTACCTGTTTTGTCCTTGTCTTACAAAACGATTAAATGCAAATAGATCAGTATGTCAGTCTCCTTCTTTGAATTCTGGTTTTTGTGTCTTGCTTAAGAAGGTTTTTTTTTTTTTTTTCTTTTTGTATTTTCATCTAATACTTAAAAAAATTGCTTCCACTTGGCTTCTTAATAAGTTATGGTTCAGATTGAGATGGTTGATTCAATGGTGTTCTAGGATGAAGTCATTTATCAGCTTAGAAGCAGGAGAGCAGTTTCCAGCAGCTGTATTTTCCACAGCACAGTGTGACTGCACATAGCTTTTCAAAAACATCATGTAAAAAAGAAGGGATAACCTTTCACAAGCAATATAAGGTTATTTGTAAAAGTAATGAAAAAGCACCCACTGTTTGAAAGTAAAATGTATTTCTCTCCTTGTTTAACTTTTCATGGAATGGGAATTAATTTTTTTTCTTCGTAAAGCAGCTAGTCAAGATAGGAACCTTTGATAATGATTATATATGAGTCAAATTCATTCTGGCCAGAAATGCAAGTACTGTATCACCATGATTTTAAAAACCATTAGCTATGTATAAGTGCAGAAAATACACATAATAAGCAATCAATAGAACTGAGATCCAAGTGGGTTAATGTCTTGTTCTACTCCAGGTCTTGCTTGAGACAGGACCTGATGTGACACTGACCTCTAACAACCTATTTTTTCTCTTGATACCAAAGTATCTTCAGTGACCTCAAATTAGAGTCCACTATATTATACACAAGAAAATATACTATACATTGGGGCTTTGACGGGAACTGGTGGAATATTTCATCCTGAAAACGTTCATTTACACTTAAATACTAGAATTACTTTCAGAAGACTCTTCTAGCTTGAGAATCAATTTGCCTTTCTGTCAAAAAGTGTCCTTTTAAATAAAAATAGTGAAGACTTTTGTCCCTAGGCCAGTAGGGCTCTACATACGAAGCCTAATGGACTTCAGGAAATCAGTAGATTTTAAATATTCAATCACGATATGTGCTTCAAAATGTGTCATGCTTTTGGTTGGCCCTCCCCAAATCCATCTTCTCTGTTTTCATTTTCGATCTACGTGTAGGATAACTGAATAAATTCACCAAAGGACTGAATGTGAGCAGGAGTGATGTGTGCAACTTCTGCTCCACAAGCTTAGAAGGAAATTGCTGCCTTTCTCTCCCCTTTAGCTCTTCCTGTGTCCAAGGGTTGGAGCATGGATGTGGGAGGGTATTAGTTCACTCCAGCTGCCATCACAGGATATCACAGGCTGGGTGACTTAAACAACAGAAATGTATTTTCTCACAGTTTTGGAGACTCAAAGTCCAAAATCAAGGTGCTGGCAGGGTTGGTTTCTGGTGAGTTCTCTCCCCCTGGCTTGCAGATAGCACCTTCTTGCTGTGTCCTTACATGACCTTTTCTCTGTGCTCAGGCTGTGGTCAGAGAGAGGGGAGGAGAAAGAGAGAGAGAGAGAGAGGAAGAGAGAGAGAGAGGTCTGCTACTTCTTCCTCTTTTTAAAAAGGACACCAGGTGTATCAAAGTAGGATCCCACCATTGTAACTTCATTTAACTTTTTCTTTTTTTTTTCTGAGACAGAGTCTCATTCTGTCACCTAGGCTGGAGTGCAGTGGCACTTTCTAGGCTCACTGCAACCTCTGCCTCTGAGATTCAAGAGATTCTCCTGCCTCAGCCTCCTGAGCAGCTGGGATTACAGGTGCCTGCCACTTCGCCCACCTAATTTTTGTATTTTTAGTGGAGATGGGGTTTTGCC